GGCCGCGCTCAGCACGCGCGCATGCGGCCTGGGCCTCCGTCTGGGCAGACAGGGCCGCGTCCTCCCGCAGGCGCTCCGCCGTGTGCCGCAGGCAGCTCCCGGACTTGCTCTGCCTCCGCTTCCCGCCAGCTCTGCCGAGCAGGGCCCCGTCCCGGGCTCTCGGTCTGAAAGCGCTCATCTACCAATGTTTATAATTAGTTTCGAAGAAAGAGAAGAGACTCTTCCTATTTAAAGTGATAAAGGTAGTGTTCCGCATTGCTCTCCTGAAATCACTGCCTTGCACGCGAGTCTTTCGCACCCCGGGACCGGAGCACCGGGCCCACGCCTTCTGCTCCCTGGGTGTCGGCGGCCAGCCCACTCGGTGGTCTCCTCCTGACCCTGTGCGGAGGCGGCGTCTGCCGGGGCTGTTTCTGTCCCCAGCACGGAAGCAGTCCTGCCCAGCACCGCGACGTCCCTGCGGCCGAGAAGCAGGGCGGGCAGTGGCCTCAGGCCAGGACATGCGGCTGCACCACCCACCCGCTCGGCACTGTCTGCGGCCGACCTCCGTCCCGTGTCGCTGTTCTCCCAGCCCGCGCGTGTCCCTCTCCTGGTGCTGCCGGAACCTCAGGCTCAGGAGATGCTGACCGAGTCAGCGCTCGGAGCCCCGACAGCCCCCTCCTTCCTCCGCTTCGCCGGGAGGACGGTGCGGCTGGGCTCGGGGAGCGCGAGCACGTGCCCAGGTCGGCAGGAACAAGCACCACGAGCGATGCCGGCTTTGCCACACTCCACTTCTGCACCCACTGAGATGTGATTCTTCTCCTGTAATCTGTGATTGGCCAGGTTTTACACTTCTTCTGCCTTTGATGTTTACTTTCCTTGTCTAGTTTCTTCCTCATGTTTCAAGTCACTCTATTTCTCCTTGTCCATGTCCATGGGGGAGGTGGAGAATATCAGCGTTTAAATAACAAGAAATGAGATGCCTGGTAAGTGCCAGGTACTTGAAGTAATCTTACCTCAGACCAAGCTTCAAATGTACTACATTATGAGGCTGAGGCAGGAGGATCACTTTACTACATAGCAGGTTCAAAGCCAGCCTGAACTACATAGGAAGACCCCATCTCAAAAAAAAAAAAATGTACCATACTATATTTATATTTATACTTATATATTTATATAGGTTACTTATATTGGGGGGTGGTGTTTGAGATATAGTCACTTAGAAGCAGAAGTAATTTTTTTCCAGTACTGGTGATTGAACCCAGAGCCTTCACACTGAGCTACATCTCCAGCCCTTTTTTTATTTTGAGATGGGTTCTCACTAAGTTGCCCAAGGTGGGCTTGAACTCGTGATCCTCCTGCCTCAGCCTCCCAAAGTGCTGGGATTGTGATATATACGCTGCACACTCGGCTAGAAGTAACTATTATAGAAAATTTTCAACTAAAAATATGCCTTCCCCCACAGAGAACATCAAGACTTCAGAGCTACCTTTGGAATTTTCTTCAGTACTACATTTGCCTTTAGGTCCTAGGCTTTGAGCCCCCATTATAACCCATAGGAATCATTGGGTAAGAGAACTGGCTGGCACCCCAGGGAGATAAAAATCTTTGTGTATTTGGTGAGTCAATACTGTTAGAGGAGACAGCTGTGTGTCAAAATCACATCTTTAAGCCAGTCATGGAGGTGCACACCTGTAATCCCAG